CCCAACTATACATAAAATGATTCCAAATCCAATTGTACAAAATATAGGCCATCCATTCACGTGAATAAGCACAACAAGTCCTTCCTTCGTCTTGAGCCCTGTGGTGGGGAATAAAATATTTTTGGGGTGAGCTAGAAGCTCAGCGAGTAACCAGGAAAATCATTAAACAAATATATTTCACAATGTTGCATTTCGATCATTTCGATGATGTCATGATTCAGAGATCAAATGTCCGTTTAGTGCTCTCGTGAGCCAGTGAAATCATAGCACTTGAACACTCAACGCTCAAATAGATCATTTAACACTAGCATTAACATGAAGAGGGAGCCCCTTTTTGAGCTCCAGATAAACATGAACATGAACCATAAACAAGGTGGAGACGTTGGTGTCCAGCACAAGACTTTCCCAGAACTCATTGAAGCCAAATCATGTCATGAATCCACATGCAAGCACGCATGATATGCAATCGAATAAATAATGCAAGAAACATTTCACAAGTACTTTAGAAATAGTTTAGGGTCACTCACCTCCACGGCTCAGAAACCATCCATCATATAACATTGTCTTGCTCAAATCCAAGCCTTAGATCACAAACCCAATGCAAACAAGTCCCTTCAAAGTTCGGACAGCACTTCCCCTGAATTTGCTAACTTTTCCGGCCATCATGGCTTCATTATTTCCTCAGCCAGTTCCAAAGGTACACACACAACAATAAGTTCATCCAATAGCCATTCAGCAAGCTCCAAGTAGTACAAAGACAAGTAAAGCTAGGGAAAAGTCCAGAAATGAAAGTACTCTAACATGGTGCCCCTTTTGGGCTTTTGTAATGAGGTCAGGTGGGGCGTTTTTCAAGAAAAGTTGAGGCTTGAAACCAGGCTTGATGAAAGGTGTGAAATAAACTGAGATTGCATCATTTTGAAATTATCTCTAATTTTTGAACGAAACCGAGGAAAATTTGCCCCAGCTTGCTTGGATTTTTTTTCTTTGCATTTTCTTCATTGCATTTTTCTCACTTTTTGCATTTTTCTTCAAAAAACTAAATTTGCCCCAGTGTGGGGTTCTCTTTTCCTTTTCATCTCTCTTTTCAAAATAAATTTGCCCCAGTATAGGGTTTTTTCCCTGATCATCTTTTTCAGAAATGAATTTGCCCCAGTGTGGGGTTTGCAATTCTCAGGGGCTGCCAAACGAAAAAATTATTGTTCTGATAGCTCAAAAGGGACGACTAGGGATGAAATGTTTTGATTGGAAAGGAAGATGGCTTGACTTTTGCCTTGTCTCTTGCATGATTTCCTAAAAGAAACTTTGCATAATCAAATAAAGAACATCTTACACATGTCCGAGTTGATAGGTTGAGGGAATGTCTGTCCTTCCATCTCTCCTTTGAACACCCAATAAGCTTTGTCAATTTGAAGCAAATTTGTCTTCGACTTCGTCTTTCATCGCTTTAGCACTTTGTTTCCTTCTTCAGAAGATCGGTGGCGGATCCTTTTGTTATGAACATAGGCCATGCGTTTTGACAACGTTGGTCATAGCACATAACATTCAACTGCTTTTCATCAATCAGAATCAATCGTTAATGATACTGCTTTAACCAATCAACTTTGAACCTGGCTGGAAAGGGATTTTCTCAAATGAAGGGATTTATCAATGAAGGAATTTCCAAATGAAGGGATTTTTCCAGTGAAGGGATTCATCAATGAAGGGATTTTTCCAGCGAAGTGATTTTCAATGAAGGAATTTTTCAATGGGTTTTCTCAATGAAAGCTTTCTCAATGAAGGAATTTCTCAATGAGGGCTTTTAATGGAGGAATTTTCAATAAAGGGTTTCATCAAATTCCAGAATAGTGATATTAAAAGAGTCGAATAACCTCACCTTTGGCCATCTCAAAAATCAGAATCATAATCAGACGAACAAATAATCAAAATGAGCATTTCATGAAACTCCAAATCAAAGTAGAAACAAAACAAAACTTGATTGCAAAAAAAAAAACGCTTTCATGAAACTATTTACATATGCAAGAAAAAGTTTTCGTGAACTTTAGTAAATGACAACCCCTAGATTTATCGAAATTCCCTTCGTGAGGGAAGATAGTCAGCCATCCAAATTGCGCAGAGCTCCTTCAGGATTTTCAAATTTCGTCATTTGTAGTGGATGCTTCAAAGGTGTCCTTGTGTTTGGGAAAGGGGTTTGTATTTACATTTGGTCCATGTTCACCTTTTCCCCTTAACACTATTTCCCCTGCCTCAATCATGTCTTGAACTCTGTGCTTAAGGGCTCTGCAATCGGCGGTTGAGTGTCCAGGTGCTCCCGAATGATAGGCACAAGTGGATTGCGGATTGTATTCGGCAGGAACACCATGAGGGTGAGCTGGAGGAGGAAGTACGCTGATTCTACCAGCGGCTTTTAATTGTTCATACAATTGGTCCAGAGGCCTGCCAAGGTTATTGAAGGTGCGAGAACGATTTCGACTTTGGGGTTCAATGGATTGAGGGTAATTATAGGTGGGTCTATTTGGTGGAGGAAATTGTTGATTGTAAGGAGGTCGGGGTCGAACTTGTTGGAAGTGAGGTTGAGATATTTGAAAAGGGGCCATAGGCGAGTTGTTGTAATTAAGGCGAGGTCGAGGATGAGTGGTATTGGTGTGGTAAACAGATTGAGGGCTTGAATAGTAAGGGTAAGGGTTCGAGTAGGTAAAGTGTGGTCGAGGTCTAGGTCTTGGGATAGGGTTTTGATCCCAAACAAAAGTAGTTTCCTCCTCTTGCTTTTTGGACTGTTGCTTCTTCCCATTACTACCTTGGCTTTGCAAAGCATCCAACTGGGACTTGAGGGCAGAGACATTAACAATCTTCCCAGCTTTCACGAAGTCATCGTACTCCTCAAGTTTATTGACAATAGCGGCTGTAGTGGGGCCCAGGCGCACATCGGCCCGGGCCACGAACACGTCAGTCCAACCCACGAGCAAGGATAGGAGGTGCTGGGCCGTGGGTTCAGGTCGGCCCGCCGGTCTGTGTGGGCGCCGCCTCTCAGGCATATGGACCTGATGGGCTGCGAGGTCCGCATCCTTAGGTCTGTGCTATAGAGCCCTAGGGGCCATTCACTCCAACAGGGACTCCTTGTTCTACCAGGAAGCTACTACCTGAGCCTCTATAAATACTACACGAAAGAGAAGCACAAGGTACGCTATTCATAACACAATCTCTACTCTTCTGCCCGAAGACTTGTTCTGACTTGATCATCAGAGTTGTTTCAGGGGACCTATCCCCGCAGTCCGCTTACGTGCAGGTCGGGCGCTTCATCAGATCGTTCCGCGAGCCCCAGCTCAGCTCGGATCTTCACTTCGGCAGTCGCATCAATTGGCGCCGTCTGTGGGAAGATTCTCTCTTCTTTCGCGAACAACATGCCGAAGACTAGATCCTAGAGGAATGTGGATGGCCCTGAAGGGAATGGTCAGGGTGACCCTCAGCGCGCCCACCAGGATACCGTCGTAGGAAATGAAAGGATCGAGCTCTCGCAGATCTCACCGGAACAGCTGGTGCAGTCAGTAGCCGCAAACCTGCCTACTTTTGAGGCTATTGTGACGTACTTGAAGGGACAATCCGGAGGCCCTCCCAGTCCGGAGCGTCGGACGTGGAAAGCGGGCGGAGCAGGGAGTTCGGAATCCCGATCTGGAAGCCCTAGCCCTCGGTCGAAGAAGGCTCGGAAGGAGCTCACCCGCGAGCAGGTTCATGTTCCGGAACCCTCTCACAGGAACTCCCGAACTAGCCACCCGGAGCCCGTCCTGAGGCCTTCACGGGTGGAGGTTCCTCCCAGGAAGGAGGAATACCTGATCCGGGACGAACTGGACCTCCTGCTGGATCCAGAGGCGGATAGGTATACTGCCTCTCCCTTCGTGCCGGATATCGAGGATTATCCTCTGCCTGCCAAGTTTAAAATACTGTTCATGAAGTCCTACGACTCGACCACAGATCCAGAGGATCACTTGTTTGCATTCCTGACCCAGATGCGCCTCCAGACAGCTGCTGATGCGGTCAGGTGCAAGACCTTTCCGATGTTCCTGGAAGGAAAAGCCCGACAGTGGTTTCAAGGTTTGCCTCCCAGGTCAGTTCGATCGTTTAGCCAGCTCGCGCGGCTGTTCGCTGCCCAGTTTGTCTCCTCGCGCGCCTATTCCAAAACCACGGCTCATCTGATGACTGTTCATCAAGGTCCCGAGGAGTCATTGCGCGAGTATATGGTACGCTTCAACAATGAATCCCTTCAGGTGCGTGACCGAGATGACAAGGTTGTGATGGCTGCCTTTGTCAATGGATTACGCAAGCAGAAGTTGTATACGGAGTTTGTGGAAAGACCTCCTAAATCCGTCAGAGAGATGTTAGATCGGGCTCATGAGAAGGCGAATGCCGAGGAGGCCAATCGGTTGAAGGGCGCTCAGGAGAGATTGCGGGATGACAAGCGACGGAAGGGCGCCGACCTGGGGGAGTCCCGACCAGTCCAAGGGCGGAAGAATGTACCCGAGCGCTTGCCTCGGGGTCGACCATGGGAGAAAGAGAAAGCCTGGACTTCGCTCACAACGCCCAGAGCTCGGGTCCTCGCCGTAATGGAACAAAAAGGGCTCTCCCGCCCTCCTCGGCCGCTGGGTAGAGACAAAAACCAGCGCGACCAGGGCTTGTACTGTGCTTATCACAGGGACATCGGGCACGATACTGAGGACTGTCGACACCTCAAAAAGGAGATCGAGAAGCTGATACGAAGGGGTCACCTAAGGCAGTTCGTCCGTGACGGGCGAACGGGTCAGAAGCCATGAGGGTTCAAGCGAGATCGGACGACCAGTTCGCACGACCGACCTCGAGGTCCCCGTGATCGGACTCCGGAGCAGGGGGTTCAGAACCTAGCTGGAGTAATCAACACTATTGCAGGGGGGCCTGCTGGAGGAGATAGCCACACGGCTCGACGAAACAACCGACCTCCCCCTAGCGGGGAAAGCTCGAGCAAACGTTTGAAGATGTACGAGGAAATCATCTACGGACCAGAGGACGCGGTACCCTTAGCCTCTAATAACCATGAAGCAATCGTGATAGAAGTTATCACGTGCAACTACAAGGTAAAGAAGGTGTACATCGACAATGGGAGTGCCATCGATGTGCTGTATTACAAAACCTTCAAGGAATTGCAGTTGGAAGACAAGCAGCTCATCCCAGTTCAGACTCCCTTGATAGGTTTTGCAGGTCCGCCGGTTAGACCAGAGGGAATGATAACCCTCATGGTCACGGTAGGGGAGTCACCGAAGTGCCGAACTGTCCCGGTGAATTTCGCGGTAGTAAAGGAGCTGTCTTCCTACAATATGATACTAGGGCGACCAACCCTCAACGCTCTCCGAGCTGTCTGCTCGACCCTACACCTTAGCATGAAGTTCCTGACGCCTGATGGGGTGGCCGAGGTGCTGGGGGACCCGGAGGTAGCTCGGGCCTGTTACATTGCAACCCTCAAAGGTAAGGAGAAGCTGGTGGCCCAAACGACCTGTCTGGAGCCCTGGGAGCCTGCTGAAAAAGAGGAAAGGTTGGAGACGGATGAGAGTCTGGTCGAATTGCCCATCTGTCCCGAGCGACCTGATCGCGTGGTAAAAGCCGGAGCTGGCCTGAGCGAGCTGACACGGAGAGCTCTGGAGTCCCTGCTGGAGGAATATGCCGAGATCTTTGCGTGGAGTGCTGATGACATGCCTGGAGTCCCTCCCGAGCTGGCAGTTCACAAGTTGCACGTTGACCCAAACATCCGGCCAGTGAAGCAAAAGAAGAGGAACTTCGCTCCCGAGCGCAACGAGGTCGTCAAGGAAGAGGTAGGCAAGCTGTTGGAGGCCAAAATTGTGAAGGAGATCTACTACCCGACCTGGCTGGCCAACCCTGTGCTGGTCAAAAAAGAGGACAGGGCCTGGAGGATGTGTGTGGAGTTCACCGACCTGAATAAGGCTTGTCCGAAGGATTGTTACCCTCTCCCTCGCATCGACCAGCTGGTCGACTCAACAATTGGGTACGAGATCTTCTGCTTTCTGGATGCCTTCAAAGGGTATCACCAGATAGCTCTGGACGAGGAGGACCAAGAGAAGACTGCTTTCATCACCGAATACGGTACGTATTGTTATACCACCATGCCATTTGGTTTGAAAAATGCAGGCGCGACCTATCAGCGGCTGGTCAACAAGTTGTTTAAAAACCAGATCGGCTGAAATATGGAGGTGTACGTAGATGACATGCTGGTGAAAAGCCGAACTCAGGAGCAGTTCATTAACGACCTCAGAGAGATCTTTGACGTCCTACGGAGCTCGCGGATGCGGCTGAACCCCAAGAAATGTACTTTCGGGGTCAGGTCGGGGAAATTCTTGGGATACATGATATCAAAGGACGGGGTAAGAGCTAATCCCGACAAGGTAAAAGCTATTATGGACATGGCTCCTCCCCGAAATATAAAAGAGGTCCAACGGCTAGCTGGCAGGATGGCGGCCCTGAACAGGTTCTTGTCGAAGTCTGCAGTTCAGGGATCTCCCTTCTTCAGAGCTCTGCGAAAAGGCCCCCAGTTTGAGTGGACCCCCGAGTGCCAGCAAGCGTTTGACGAACTAAAAGCACACATCGCTCGCTTGCCGGCCTTGACCTCTCCCGCACAAGGAGAGACCTTATTTGTCTATCTGGCAGTAGGGGAGGAGGCAATCAGTGCGGTGTTAGTTCGGGAAGAAGGCAAAATCCAGAAGCCTGTGTACTATGTCAGCCGAGCTCTGCAGGGTGCGGAGCCTAGGTATACCCTGATTGAGAGGTATGTTTTGGCATTAGTTCACACGGCCCGGAAGCTCAGGTCGTATTTTCAGGCCCATCCCGTGGTGGTCATGACCGACCAGCCCCTCAAGCAAATTCTCTCCAGGCCCGATGCATCAGGAAGAATGGTAAGATGGGCCGTGGAGCTGTCCAAGTACGATCTCAATTACCAGCCCCGAACGGCCATCAAGGCCCAAGCATTAGCAGACTTTATAGCCGAAGGAGTCTCCTTTGGGCAACAGGAGTCCAAGGTCAAGCTGACCAGAGACGCAGCCGAGGCCGAGCTGGTCGGAGGAGCTGTTGAGGCCGTGCAGGTCACCAAGTCCGAGCCGACCCAAGACGCAGCTGAGGCCAGGCAGGCCGGAGAGGCTGCCGAGGTCCAGGAAGGCACTAAGACTTCCAAGGCCGAACAGACCATAGGTGCAGTCGAGGCCGAGCAGGCCAGGGAACCTGCCGAGGTCATACAGGCCACTAAGGAAGCTAAGGACAGGCTGAGCGGAAGCACAGTGGAGGCCGAATGGGTCGGAAGTGCTGGGGAGGACGGCCAGGCCACCGGAAGGGTAACTCAGCCCATCCCGACCTGGACACTGTTCGTGGATGGATCTTCAAGCAAGAAAGGATGCGGAGTCGGGCTTCTTTTGACTAGCCCCATGGGGGATGAGCTGGCCTACGCTCTGAGGTTTGATTTCAGGGCCTCTAACAACGAGTCCGAATACGAGGCCTTGGTCGCGGGAATGATGATAGCTCGGAAATTGGGGGCCGAGTCAATAGAAGTCTACAACGACTCGCAACTGATAGTCAACCAAGTAGGGGGAAGTTACGAAGTTAAAGAGGAGCCCTTAAGGAGATACGTCGCCAAGGTACATGAGCTGAGAACCCAGTTCAAGGCATTCACGCTTAAGCAGGTCCCGCGATGCCAGAATAAGAGGGCGGATGCTCTGTCCAAGCTAGCTTCCACCTCGGTCGGCACGTTGAGCTGAGAGGTCCTGGTGGAGGTTGTCAGAAATCGGGCGTATGACCAGCTCGATGCAGCTGTTATTCAGGTAATAAGCTCGTGGATGGATCCCATAGTACGGTACCTGGCTGGTGGAGAGCTCCCCCCAAGCCGAGTAGAGGCACGGAGGGTTCTCCTTAGGTCGCGGGGGTACGAGCTCTCGAATGGGGTACTTTACAAGAAATCTTACCTACGCCCGTGGCTGAGGTGCATCACTCCGGAAGAGGGAGACTATATCCTGCGTGAGCTACACGAGGGCATCTGTGGAAACCACGTCGGCCGAAGGGTTTTGGCCAAGAAGGGAATGCTGTCCGGGTACTATTGGCCGACCATGTTCTTGGATTCAGCCGAGCTGGTAGCTCGGTGTAAGTCCTGCCAGCTGCACGCGCCGATCCATCACGCCCCAACTCAGGAGATGATTCCTCTCCAGAGCCCTTGGCCTTTTTTCCAATGGGGAATCGACCTGTTAGGTCCTTTTCCCCGAGCTCCGGGGGGTTATGAGCATATAGTGGTGGCTGTAGATTATTTCACCAAATGGGTGGAGGCCGAGCCCCTTACCACCATTAGCAGCAGGTCGATGCAAAAGTTCCTCTGGAAAAACATCGTTTGCCGATTTGGTATACCCCGTGTCCTGGTCTCAGATAACGGACGCCAGTTCACTGATAGTGCTCTTCAAGGCTGGTGTTCGGAGCTCGGGATCTGGCAGCACTTCACCTCGGTAGGCCACCCTCAAGCCAATGGCCAGGTGGAGAACGTCAACAGGACCATCCTGCACGGCTTGAAGACACGGATGGAGTTCGCTCGAACTGGGTGGTTGGAAGAGCTGCCAGCCATACTGTGGGCTTACGAACCACTCCCCGAACTGCTACCCAGGAGACTCCTTTTGTTCTGACCTACGGAGCAGAGGCGGTGATCCCTGCGGAGATAGGAGTTCCTTCGGGTAGGGTTCAGAATTTCATAGCTCGGGACAATAAGGAAGAGTTACGTCTTAACTTGGACCTGCTGGAAGCAAGGAGAGAAGAGGCGGCTATACGTATGGCTAAGTATAAAGGGCAGATCGCGCGACACTACAATGCTAGGGTAAGGCCTCTGTCCTTCAAGCCAGGAGACCTGGTATTAAGAAAGAATAGCGTGAGTCGGCTTCAGGGCACGGGCAAACTAGATCCAAATTGGGAAGGCCCCTATGTGGTAAGAGAAGCGGATCGGGCTGGATACTGCAAGTTAACTCACCTCAGTGGGGAAGAAGTCCCGCGTACCTGGCACAATTCCAAATTGAGGATCTTTCGTTAAGCTCGCGCGCGTTAGATTGTTTCAAGGTCGAGACCTTTTATTAATATTGATGTATTTGTTTATTTTGTTTTAGGGAGTAGTTCATTTATGTTGGCATAGGGCCGAACTGATGTGGCTTATGACAAGAAATTTTGCAAATGCGACTAAGTATGAAGCAAAAGAAAGGATTTTCATTGAATTCAGTAAAACTATACAAGGGGTCGAGCTCGTACAAAAAGAACTAAGCCTAGGAAGGGCCGAGCTCCCAAAAAACGAACTGCCTACTAACAGTTCGGACTCCAAAGACCCTGCTCTAGTTCTCGCCTTCCTCTTCCTCTTGCTCGGATTCAGGGGTGGTCACCGGAAGCAGAGGATCGGCAACCAGGTCGACTAGCTTCCGTCCGTGCGTATAGCCCTCCACCAGACGGTCGAGCTGCTCCACGGCCAGGGGGTTGTAGCTGGGAGACTTGCTCAGTTCAAACCCGGGCAGACCCAGCCTTTGCACTTCTTCCAGGGCTTGGGAGTACCCATGCTGCAGCACTGGTGTATTCAGGATGGCCAGGTCGCCCCTAAAGTCCTCCGACCTGAGGAAGGCTCGCACGCCCTCCTGGCATCCCTCGGCCTTAGCCGCCTCTGCCCGAGCAGACAGCTCGGCGCTCTTTTCCTGCTCCCCTTTCAGCTGGGCGGCCAACTCGGAGTTCTTCTTAAGCTCCAGCTCGAAGTTTGAGTGGGCTGAGGCGAGCTGCTTCTTCAGGCCTTCAATTTCGGTCGCAGCCGCTTTGTTTTGGCCGAGTAGTTTCTCGTTGGCTGCTTTCGTTTCGCTCATCAAGGGCAGCAGGCTCCCATAGCGCTGGGCTAGCTCGGACCCGATCAAGTTCCCTTGAGCCGCGCCCGTGTAGTAATAATCAAGGAGGTCGGAGAAGCCCATGGCCTTGACCAAGTTGTGGTCTCGTGGGAGGATGGCCCCATGGGCGAGTTCCCGGGCCGCCTCGGGAAATTGAGCTCGGTCATTTATGGAGAGCTTCCACTGGGGGCAGAAGTGCATGGGGTGCGGATGCGTGACTAGACGAGTTTGGGGGTCGAAGAGCAGGGTAGAGCTCTGGCGTTGCCACAGGTTAGGAGGAGCTTCAGCCCGGGCTTGTTCCTCGGCGGTATTCACACCGTAGTGGCCGCCCTGACCAGGCTCAGGCGTCGACCTCTCTTCCTGAGCTGGGGACGAGGTCGTCTCCACCCTAGCTCTCTTGGCGGTCGTTTTCTTCTTCTTCTTGTTTCCAGCCTCAACAGGCTTAGAGGACTGGGCAGGAGCTGGCTGAAGCGGGGGAACTGGCGCCGAGCTGGCTGGGATAGCTGAGGAAGGTTGCGTGGTAGCACCCTGATTGCTGGCACCCCCGATGGTCAGAAGGGAAGAAAATATTTTCACTGCAAAAACAGAAGGCCAGAAGGTCAGTAGATACATGAATGAAAAGAAGTCAGAAAGGGAGGAAGGAGGGCCAGGTCGATTACAGGTGGTCAGCTCGTCCGGCGATAATGGCTTATTTTCTGGCGAGGGATCTGAGGGATTAGCTCGGATCAGCCCCGCCGCCCAAAGCTGGGCATTGCTGAATTCTTTCACCTCCAGCTTCTCGTCCGAGCTGAGTAAGCGGTTGAGCTCGGCCACAGGGAGCGGGGACGGAAGTGGATCCGAAACCTGAGTCTCCGCCCTCCAGGTCAGAGGGGGAAAACCCAGGTTCTTCATAAAAAAGAAATAACGCTTCCAATCCTTGATTGAGGAAGGGGCTCCCGTGAACACCTCGCGGGTGGGGGTTTTTACCCCACTTCTGCGGGCAAAATAGAACCATCCAGGCACCTTCCCACTGACGTTCATCTGGAAGAAGGCCTGGAACAAGTCATGAGAAAAGGGAATTTCTAGGGCTCGGCAAAGGATAAAAAAACCTATGATGGAACGAACACCGTTGGGTATGACTTGGGTTATCCGGATACCCCAGAAGGTGAGGATGAAGAAGAAGAAGTCGGGGATAGGCAGGCGGAGACCAGCTATCAGCTGGTCCCTGTAGATCGCCACGAACCCAGGAGGAGGTCGGCTGGCGACCTCTCCTGGATGGGCTGCCCTGGGTTCAAAGAGGGCCGGGATTTCGTACTTTTCCACTAGCGAGTCCACATCTTTTTGTTCCAGGGCTGGGGAGATGGTATCGACTTCCCCGAAGCCGCCACTAGTTCTCCCCGAGGTCCCTGCCGCCGTCTGAGCTGGAGCTGCTCGTTCGGCAGCTTCAGCTAGAGGCTGGACAGGTCGCTCGGCCGGACTCATTGCCCTAACAGGAGATAAAGCAGGGGAAGCCACGACTTCTGGCCCGGACGAAATAGAAAGAGAAGAACTAGAGGGATCTGAAGGGCTGCTATCTATGTTTATGGGACTAGCTGCTCTATGCCTAGGGGCTGAACTGGTGACGTCAGAACTATCGGAACTGTAAGAAGACATAAAAAGGAAAGGGAAACTTACTGATGAGAGGAGGTCGGATGAAAGACTGATCTAAGGATTGCGCGAACTGACTCTGGGCTCCTAAGGCTGGGCGACCCGACGTGCTCTTGGAAGAAAGAAGATGAAGCAGCGAACTAAGGATGGGAGGAGCGAACTGACAAAATGAAGAAAGGGGTGTGAAAATGACGCCCAAGGAGCTTATTTATAGGCAATTCACAAGGCGGGAAGATGAAGGGACGTGCATTTATTGAACCGTTATGGGGAACCGTTCCTAACCGTCGCAGCTGGCGGACGTGACGATCGAGGTGACTGACGCGAACAGACGCGACGGTTGCGTGCACCACTCTCTGACAGGGGCCCCACACCGAGCTGACACGATGCTGGAAAGACGGCTAGACTCACGCGCACGTTCGATGACTCTAGACTAGGGGGGCTAGTGTAGTGGGGCCCAGGCGCACATCGGCCCGGGCCACGAACACATCAGTCCAACCCACGAGCAAGGATAGGAGGTGCTGGGCCGTGGGTTCAGGTCGGCCCGCCGGTCTGTGTGGGCGCCGCCTCTCAGGCATATGGACCTGATGGGCTGCGAGGTCCGCATCCTTAGGTCTGTGCTATGGAGCCCTAGGGGCCATTCACTCCAATAGGGACTCCTTGTTCTACCAGGAAGCTACTACCTGAGCCTCTATAAATACTACACGAAAGAGAAGCACAAGGTACGCTATTCATAACACAATCTCTACTCTTCTGCCCGAAGACTTGTTCTGACTTGATCATCGGAGTTGTTTCAGGGGACCTATCCCCGCAGTCCGCTTACGTGCAGGTCGGGCGCTTAATCATATCGTTCCGCGAGCCCCAGCTCAGCTCGGATCTTCACTTCGGCAGTCGCATCAGCGGCAAATGAGCATCCAGTCATGCGGAAAATTTCTTCAAAGTACGGCGGATCATGTGCCTTAATGAAAGTTCGTATGATTTCGTCCTCAGTCATTGGTGGCTCGACTTTGGCAGCTATTTTCCTCCACCTCTTGGCATAGGTCTTGTGATCCTCGGAGGGTTTTCTTTTTGTTCCTTCCAAGCTAAAGGCTACGTGTTTTCTTTTTGTCCCTTTGCATTGGACAGATCCAACCAAGTCTTTATCTCTTCGGGTTTCAGCTTGGAATCCCAGTCGAGCGCATCCCCCTCCAGACTTTTTGGGAATAGCCTCAAAGGCAGATTTTCATCATCTGTTGGCCTACCCAACTTGTTGGCGAACAATCGGAGGTGTGTCTTGGGATTGCCTGTCCCATCATACTTGTTAAACTTCGGAGTTTTGAACCCCTCAGGCAATTGCACATTCGGGAAAAGGCAAAGCTCATCGTAATCCAATACTCCTTATTTGTTCAACCCCTGACTTTTCCTCATAAACTCATCGAAACGGTCTAGGCGTTTGAGAAGCTTCGTATCAATGGGAGCAGAAGATTCTCCCATCTCTGGCTTGTTTTGAATGGTATGGTCTGGCAAGAAAGGCTCAGCAGCAGCATGATAAAAGGTGTGTGGATTCAGAGGCATGTTTGGACCACCTGGAGGCTAAAATCCTTGCCCATAGGGGGGATAGAACGGAGAATTTTGAGTATACGTATACTGTGGGTTGAGAACTCCATCAAAAGTGTTTTGAATTGGAGGAATGACGAATGGTTCGGATTCCGGTTGTTTGATGGGCGCAAGCTCGGGCTGCACTCCTCTACTAATGAGCTCGTCGATCAACTTCTTTTGCGCTGCCATTTCCCCAAATTTGGCGAGTAATTCAGTCAACTGAACCCCGGGACTTGTGGCTTCCGGCTGGGTAGTTGCAGTGGCCTTATCGGACGATTCTGGCCGAGTACTCATGTCTACACGATTCCTTTGGGCTTTACTACGGGATCGCGTTATGATGGGGCTTCGACGAGAAGCTATGTTTAAATATTACCTGAGAATTTTTGAAAGATTGCCTTTAGATTTAACCATCGCTTAGTTATTCCAATGAAATAAAGAAAAGGAAAAGAAAAAGACAAGAGTTAGTAAATATTCAAAAAATTCTGATGCATGTCCTATGGGGAAGCCCTTTTATGCCAAGGGTAGGCCTAGCATGAAAATGCAATCCTCTAGGGTAGGCACTATACCATACCTGATGAATCCGATCAATTGATTGAGTGAAAAATGATTTGAAAAATTTGGCCAATTTGGAGTGAGAAGAGACATTTGTCCTAAATGTGGACAACGTCCGAATGGATTGATCACTTTTGATCGATACAAGAATTTGCAAAACGCACGGGTTTGACCTTGACGAACTTCCTATCGGAGAGATTGGAATTCGTTGACAAATTTTCTCCGTGAAGCACGAGTCAAAACCCCAACTGATCAAATGGCTGGATGCAATGGATGTTTTTCTACAAGTCGACTAGGTTTTCCAATTTGAAATTCGACATTGAAATCCCAATTGGTCAAATGGGTTGAATGAAATTGACAATTTATTTAAAATCGACTGAATTACCCTAAAAAGGGAAACGGGTCAAATGGATTGAGTGAAATT